CGGTTCAGTGCTGACATTTCCTTAAAGCTGGGTAGCAGCTTCTCGTTAATCCCATTTGTCATCGTTGTTGTAAGATTTCTAATACAAATGAACTTCACCTTGTCTTCCAAACCCGAGATACCGATAAACAAGCAAAGTTTTTTTTTTCGTGCAGGCACTTTGCACGATGCTGGCTATGCTGGCCACACTACCACTTGCTCAGCTTTTCTTCTTTCACATTCTCCTCATCAAGAAGGTTGTTTGCAATGATCAAGAACATGGAAAGCTCTTTTCTTTTAACTTTGTGAGGATGTTATGTTATGATTTACCGAGCTAATTTCTTTAATCGAGATCGAGTCATCCAATCACCAGCAATTCCATTCGATGAACGCGCTTGAGATCCTGAGGGAAACTGCTCGGATTCTCCGGTACAATCTGGGTGCTTTCATGTTGACTGCTGCTGTCTTTATCTGTCCTGCTTCTGCTGTTTTCTTACCCAACCTGTTAGTTGATGAATCAGTAGTTAAGAAACTCACTGTCAGGTTGCTCTTAGTTGCAAAGTCCAGTGGCATTCCTCTCAGGCCATTTGTGAAACACTCTTGCCAGAAATTCGCTGAAACAGCTGTTTCATCGGCAATGTGCTTTCCCTTGTTCATCACTCTCTACCTCTTGTCAAGGGCAGCCATTGTTTACTCAGTGGATTGCACTTACTCCAGGAAAAAGGTCGATCTAAGCAAGTTCATAGTCATAATCCAGAGGCTTTGGAAACGGCTTGTTTTCACATACTTGTGGGTATGTATGATGATTGTCGGTTGCGTCACTTCCTTCAGGAATGTGATGGTGGAGGTCAACATAGCCCGCAAATGTCAATGGTCAGTTCGCTCACGGGACTAAGCAGTGCGAGTTCCTTTAATACTTTTCACCGTGCAGCCTGGTGCACACCCCCTCGCTTATTTGTCGAGGATCAGGTACCATAATTGACTATTTTCTTCCTTTTTCAACGAATTTCTTAGCCTCAGGCCCTCAACCATGGCATATCAGAAGAAGCTGTTAACTTGACCCGAGGCTAATAGGTTGAACCTTTTTTTTGGTTCATGAGAATCTGTGTATTTTGAAATGTGAACTTTGATGGGTTAAAAAAACGAGGGCATTGTAGTCTAAAAGTTGGCATTTTTTTATCAGTTAGAAGCTCGACATGCCTTAAATATGCCTTTTTCGGGTGGTTTCCCTTTGCAGTTTGTTGATGTAGTTCCTCCCGAGAATGCATCCGTAAGTTCATATGGGAAGAAGACAGCGGTTGAGGAACCTGTCAAGAAGAAGAACGCCCCGGTAAAGATCAGTCCGTGGACTCTAGCACGGCTCAATGGCGAAGAGGTTTCAAAGGTAGCAGCGCAAGCAAGAAGGAAATCCAAAATACTTCAGCCTGTGGGGAGACGGGAAAATCCATTTGGGTTGGAAGCAAGCAGCAGTTTTGGCCGAAGAATGTTCCCGAAATCCGACGCTAATAACAGTAACAATGGCAAGCGGAGACCATCGAAACGGATACGACTACCAGCTGAAATGCCACCCCTTGAGCCGCTGATGAAGAATATCCAGGCAAAAGCTACTGAAACATCATTGAACCCTCTTCAGCTTGAAGCAAGAAGCGCTTTTCAGACAAGCCGAACAATGTCAAGCTCAGGTGTTATGGTTACTTCTTCACCCGAAAGCAGCTTAGACTCACCTGACATTCACCCATTTAGGGTTTCCTCTGGAGTCGAGGATTCAACCCAACTCACTGGATTATCTTCGACTCTTGCTCTGATGGGTCAACAGAGGGGAGATATGATAATACCATTTACAAGGTCGTCTACAAGTGACGGCTATGAAGCTTCCGGTGGGGAAGACAGCGATCAGGTTCCTTCTAGAAACATCCATAGATTTCGATGATGATAATGGATAGTACCGTAGATTTTCCGCCTTCAGCATTCTTTCATTCATGGCCGGTGAACTCACGAATGGACCAATCAAGAAAGTGAATTCTTTTCCCGGGTTTTCGCGAGATTTACAGTGCAAGCGAGGAGCTGTGGAACTGACAAGTAGCACCGGGAAAGAAAGAAAGGCGTTTGAGGGAATCGACAAGATCTTGGTTGGTCTTTGGGGGATTTTTCTTTGCTAAAGTTGTGAAAAAGCTTTGTTTCTTGTGAAAATGGTGAAAACTCGTTGTTTATTTTTCTCGTGATCTTTGTCAGTAACTCTTCTGTATAGTTTTGTAACTCAGAAATATGGCAACTTCCATGAACTGATTGATACAACTGAAGATGTCTACCTGAGTTTTCCCGCTCTTTTTACCGACAAGTTTTCCACAGTTACCGACAAATCTTCCTCATTTCGACAAAGGAAAAGGAGAAACTATATTTAGGGAAATCCAAATAAAGCAAAACTTAGAAATCGTTGATTAAGTTTCAATAGTACCGTGCGTTAGACGGAACGCCATTGCCGAGATCCCATCCAAGATTCTTCTTGTTGCTCATCTTGGACCCGTCTCTCATCCTTTCATTCAAAAGACCCTTTCATTTCTCTCGCATTTCCGAAATCGACCCGTTTCCCATTTTCCAAATTCCTTTGCGAGATTTTATTTCTTGTGCAGGAAGAGCACCGAAAGCGAATCGCTTTAATGCTTTCCGACGCGGTGAAGATCCAATCCCGTGATTCCATTTTTTCGATTCTCTGGGTTATGAAGGTAATCCGCTAATCTGGGTTAGTGATAAGATCTTTGATTTTGAATCGAAATCACCCGCTGTTCGTGGATTTCGGGTTTATGGGTATGTAATCCTGGGCTTTCAGCTGAACCCACTTCGGTCGAAATGGAGATGGAAGTTTCCCGGACGAATCATGGCGAAAATCAGGGATATGTCGTGTCCCATCTGGAGAAACTCGAGATCGAGTCATCCAATCACCAGCAATTCCATTCGATGAACGCGCTTGAGATCCTGAGGGAAACTGCTCGGATTCTCCGGTACAATCTGGGTGCTTTCATGTTGACTGCTGCTGTCTTTATCTGTCCTGCTTCTGCTGTTTTCTTACCCAACCTGTTAGTTGATGAATCAGTAGTTAAGAAACTCACTGTCAGGTTGCTCTTAGTTGCAAAGTCCAGTGGCATTCCTCTCAGGCCATTTGTGAAACACTCTTGCCAGAAATTCGCTGAAACAGCTGTTTCATCGGCAATGTGCTTTCCCTTGTTCATCACTCTCTACCTCTTGTCAAGGGCAGCCATTGTTTACTCAGTGGATTGCACTTACTCCAGGAAAAAGGTCGATCTAAGCAAGTTCATAGTCATAATCCAGAGGCTTTGGAAACGGCTTGTTTTCACATACTTGTGGGTATGTATGATGATTGTCGGTTGCGTCACTTCCTTCTGTGTCCTCCTCATCGCAATCTGTAGTTCGTTTTCCGTTCTTGGCTTCTCTCCAGATTCAAATGCCTATGTAGCTATCGCGGTCGGTATGGTATTCTCTGTTGTTTTCGCCGATGCCATCATAATCTGCAACACATCAATGGTGATATGCATACTCGAAGATGTCTCAGGGCCACGAGCTTTGCTCAGAGCCGTTGATCTTATCAAAGGGCAGACTCAGGTGGGTTTGCTGATATTTCTTGGATCGACGATTGGTTTAGCATTTGTGGAAGGATTGTTCGAACACAGAGTGAAGACATTGAGTTATGGAGATGGGTCCTCGAGGATATGGGAAGGACCACTTCTGGTTGTGATGTATACCTTTGTGGTCCTTATAGATTCGATGATGAGTGCAGTGTTCTATTTCAGCTGCCGGTCTTACAGTATGGAAGCTTCCGGAAGCGAAAATCAGCCGATTTTGGAAACAATGGTTGTAACCAGTAGCTCTGTGGATATCATCCAGTGATGATGTCTGGCTACTTACATGTCTCTCTGGTTCTTTCAGACAGAAACATCTGTGTCTTTTCTTGGATTCTACTGATCTTACTAATGGAGATGTTACTGGCTGCTTTGAGAAATATTTGTTTGGAGGCAAGTTAGATTTTTTATTTTGGACTTTTGGAGATTTGAGACTTGGGAACATGACAGAACAGAGCAATGTATACGAGCATATCCATATTGCTGTCTCTTTGTTTCACATAAATTATATGTAGTTTTACATGTTTTCTTCTTCTTCTATTGATGTTTAAATGGTTTGAAGATCATTGTGAGTTCATGTCCTGATTTCCTTTTGATATTTTGTTCATCTCCAATGCTCTGGGAGCTTTATATCTTTGAAACTGTGAGTTCAGGACTAAATTGTCATTCCAGGAAATTTTGGGGTGTAAATGTAAATTTTAGTTAATATGGTGGGTTTTCTCAAATTATTAATATATAAAAGGACTTCAAAAGAATATAAACAATGGCCATTATAACCCCGAGTCCAAGGCGGTTCGAAAAAAGAGAAATCGTGCGCGTCCCCGAAGCGGAGGGGAAACTGAACTGCGAAAAGAAAAATCAGGTGAGTGACTCGCGAGTGGACTCAGTGAACTGTGTCGCTGGTTTCCTCGCTTCTTGCCTCGGTTTCAAGTCGACGGCTTTGGTTTGTGATCGATGAATTTGTTCTTATTGCCTGCCATCTGTTCGTCGGAATGACTGAACTAGATGCTATCGCGTGATTTTAGGCGAGCATTGAAATTGATTGATAATTCTTACTTCGTTTTTCTTGGGACTGAGTATCAATCAGAAGGTCGATCCAAGTAAAAGGGTAGTTTTAGAGAACGATATCGTGTTTACTTGAGAGGATATTTGTTCATGCAGTGATGGATGAGGTACACCAAAAGCAGTTGCAGACATTGGAGGAGATTATTGATAGGGATTTGAAACAGAAGCTTGTACAGTCCACTGCTTCACGGTATTAAAATTTACCTCTTTCACTTACAGGTTTTGAAATTTATGTATCTGTCGTTGATGTTTACTGGGTCCGGTGGGATCTTGCTTAAAGGGTTTGGTTAATTTCTCTGTTTTCTGTGCATGCTTTACAGTCCCGTGTGAACAAAGTTCTTTTTTTTTGGCAGGGACAAGATCTTTGAGGAACAAAAAACACTGTATCCTTCCTTATTCCTTATAGGCAAATTCATGTTTCTTTAAGCGTATATTTTCTCCTGATAGTTTTATTTCTATCATGATCCTCCGTGCTTTCCATGAACTGCATTCTTTCAATTAATTTTCCGGTTCTCCGAGCCTTGGAGATTTTCCTGGAGTTAGTCATCAGCCCTAGATTGTTCCCATGACTGTTATTTGAATTCCAGCTCTGATTTGCGGAAAAACATAGAAACCCTGGAGAAAAATGGTGTAACCAGTCTCAAAACAATGGTCAACCTTGGTTCAGAAGTTTACATGCAGGCTGAGGTGTAAGTAATTGATAACTATGGTTCTTTCCTTGTGCCAGCATTGTGTTCTCATTACACTTTCTCGTGAGTATATATTTTCACTGGATTTAATATAATATTTGTCTATAAGCGAGGAGAGTGTGTAATCATGGACCTGTTCTTTGTATCTTTCTCTTCCATTAGTGAATTTTCGATAGAAATGTATTATTGACCGATAGATATATTGTTTGTTCCCCTTTTGGGGCTTGAGGTTGCAGCTGATTATGCAATGGTCAACCGGAATTCTTGTCCTCGTCTTATGTTTTCTCCAAAGGAAGCGGTTCA